CATCCAAAAGCTTCAAGACAAAACAGAACATGTACAGAGAGAAAGAAGGGCTTGGCTTTGGTAGATTCTTCTTCTTTTCTCACCTCACCATAAAATGGTTTTCTTTGATAAAAACATCAAAGTCCGAATTGTGTTCACAGCGTTCAAGCTTTGTGTTGTCCACAAATGAAAAAAGAAGAATGTTCAAAGCTAAATATAATGGGAAGGTCCGTCCACTTTGCAGCTTAGCTGCCTTTGTCCATTCCAACTTATAGTCGTACAGAATCAAATAGCTGGAATGAACGAATTAAAATAATCATCTTTAGTCTTAGCTATGTCCTATATTATGAGCATATGCATTTGAGGTCTCTGTAAAGTGTACTCTTCATCTTTCAATGAGTGGAGATAGACAGATTGATCTAACAGTCGTTCATCCTTCCATTGCTCTTCTGCAAGAAAGGTTCAGACAGTTGGAGAGAGCCAAGAAGATGAGGCTGGAGAAAGAGCTCTTACGGATGTTGCTTGAATCAAGGCAGATCAATGCAGCTATAACTTACGTGCCATCTAGATCACTTTTCCACCCTGAACTCATGCTTTCACAGCTGCGTCTTCAGTGTACACTCAAAAGAGAAGCCAGTATGCAGAGCAGGAATACCCAGGTTGCCATTCAGACTCCACTATTGAAGAATTTATGGTCCAGAGAGTGTGATATGCACAACTTACCATGATGATATTTCAAATGTTGATACTTCATCCGTCAAAAAGTATTACAATGTTAGTCTACCTAGTAATCCTGTGGTTTCCTTCCGTTTCTTCTTCATGGGGCAGTAAGAATACGGGAAGGAAAAGCAGCTAAAGAAAAAGAAAACAGAATATGCAATGTAGCTAATGGCCATTATCTTATGTATCTTCAGAACTACATAGTAATTAGAAAGGCAATTCTCTTATCTCTTCTGAAATGCATTCTCATCATTGGTAATGTTATCCAATTTGTCAGCGTTCCCTTTCCTCTTCATGATTTTGGGAATCAATTGAATTACATCTTTGGCCTCTGACATTGCTTCCCCATTGTTTATCTGCTCAGAATGAACAGCACTAACCTTTTGGGCATTTGCAGCTAATATCTGCACCAGGGACAACATTTCACTCACATTAATCAATAATTCAATTGTGTGCTCAAGATTTAGTATTATTAGCTTATACGGTTATTACATGGATAATTTATTTTCCAGAAAAAATGTTTAAACTTGAATGTTACACAAGAACGAAGCATATGAATTATTATTATCAGTTGCTAAGTTTCTTTTAGCAAACTGAGCCATCAAATGAAGCATCTCATAGGATGAACAACACAAAAGCAGATTCCTATATGAACAAATGCATGCCCCCATGATCGCATTGATTTCAGAAAGCTATATGTGGAAGAGAGTCAAGAGACTACATGATTGCTAGCTACATTCATTGTCTTAGTTTTTTAACTGAAATCCATTCAGTTCTTTTACCCTGCCTCAAGCCTATATATTTGATGCCTTTACTTCAAATCTTGATGATCAGATCCATCTTATCATCTTGATTATCCCTTTTAGGGCAACTTTGATGCTCTCACCAGCCCTAGGGATGTATCCAAATACTTCACATACAAAACCAGATACTGTCTCATACTGATGTTCCTATAGAACAGTGTGGTGAACAAAGAACAATGAAGTAGAAATATGAAATTTAAAAGTTAAAGGAACATTTTGATAGTTATTTACAATGTGAGATTAACCGTGCCTTTACGTGAATTGAAAACCACATTGCAATTTTAACTACTTACTTTATCCTCTTCTCCTTTTCTTTTTCATTTGTTTTTTTATCTTTTAAGCAGTGGTCACTTAATCATAAAGCATAATAATCCCACAACAGTCACAATAAACAGAATTTCACTTGCAACTGGGATCAGAAATATCAAGTTTATAAGTCTGGCTATTTTTAAGATTCCTACGATCAACTACTGTGTGGCAGAGAATGAAATTTTAATGAGCCTGTGGAAATGGCAGAAGTATACAATATTAGAAATAATCAAAGGTAGAAATGATTCTAATAACTGAGTCTTTAACTTTAATGTTTAAATTCTCCTTTCAGTGCTCTAAACACCATAACAACAAAAACCAATAATAGTATAGAATAATATACCTCTGGCATTTTGATATTCAAGTCCTCAGCCAATAAACAGATGCATGGGCATGGACATCATATACTCCCTCTGCTCTCATTACAATATAGCCAGTTTTCTTCTGGATCTCCTCCTGTTAATACAATTAGCAGCAAATGCATAAAATAAGAATCACTTGAGAATCATTATACATATGTATAAATGAATCCCCTAAGAATCAAGTAGAGCTGAACCTTGTAACACCAATTGATATGAGACCTATAGAGTAAAGAAATATCTACATGACGTGAGAAGTGACATGAAATTCCTTGGTCACATGGAAAATACAGAAAAAGTACATGCCAAACTAAATGAGACCAGAAACTGGTGACATAAAGCAGCATCTAGACCAATTGGTCTGTAGAAAATTAGCAGCACATGTATAACACCAATTTGTTTTGGACTTCATCAACAAGTTTTCTTAGCATCCCCTTGCTGAGGAATAATAGAATCCAATATCTAAAGTTATCTATATGGTTAAAAGACTTGCCCCCAATAACAGATTCAGTAACAGAACATTAAGGTCATTAATGAGGTAATTGCTTACCTTTGGATCATTTTCATCAAAGATTTCTCCAACAATCTCCTCAACCACATGTTCTAAGGTTACTATCTGCTCCATCAAAAAATGAGTACATAAATATATAAAATCAATCAGTCAATAAAATAAGCACAAATACGGTTAAATAAGCAATCCAAGAGAGAAAGAAAACCCATGAATAGTAAGTTCTGGACTTTTTGTGTTCTCATGGTGCATATTCCACTCTAAACATATGAGAGAGCATTCAAGTTTCAACTGCAGGGAACTCCTCTGTCTCCTTTAGCATGTTGAACCTGATATTAATGTTACATGCCAAACCTTCTGAAGTTGTAAGATTTGAATAACATCCTAATGCTAGGAGCTCATGAGTTAAGGATTGAGGGGTCATACCAATCATTTAGATTTTAAGTGGTCAGCATATTA